TACCACACCCACATAATCCCCTGCCTTTGTTCCCCTCATTATCCCATTGTTTCAGTCACGTGAGCAATAAACAATAGACATGAAATATTCATTGGAATTTTTATTAGGTCATTCATRTTCACGTCAATACAAAGCACTATGATTTAAGGTACTTCAAAAMCTAYAMCTTCAACAAACTAGCTGATGGTATACTGGTYAAGAAGAGGGCAAGCAGGACATAAGGTAAGTGGTTCAAATCCAGGTAGGTTCATGCAAGAAAAATTGGACAGCACCTCAAGACTCAGGATCAAGGTAAGTCAAGCAGACCTGGACAAAATAAGGAGAATTGGCTCACAGATTACAAAAAGAACTCAGAAATTGGCTTTAATAAAAAAGATCAAATTGGCTTTAAAAAATAAAAAAAAATTCAAATTGGCTCTAAAAAAAAAGTAAAAAATTAGAAAAAAAATAAAAAAATGTGAAAAAAAAGTAAAAAATCCCTATAAATTTTGAAAAAATGTATACTAAGTCTTTTTGCAATTTTTTTTGCCCCTAGGGTAATTAGTCGCAGGTCCCCAAGACCAAAAGTTCAAACCTACCCTCCCCTTAAGAAGAAGTACTCCCAAACAAAGAGTTCAGGGGTACCCCTTAAGGTTGATGAGTAAGTTGAACGAAAGGCCTTGCGGACAGTCCACTTTGTTTGGATTCTAAAGACATAGGTGTTGCTTGATTAAAAGACTAGTACAGAATGCTGAAATTAAGGCATAAAACTGGTGTTCTTCCTATAAAATAGCTGAAAATAATTTAAAGTCTAAGTAACTTGTAATGCTCAAAGTATAAAACTCTTTGATCTCGAAACAGTTTTTAATGCTGATTTTTATAGGAATAACACCAGTTTTATGCCTCAACTTAGAGCATCAGTAAGGCTTATAGAAGAGACATGGAATGTTTCTTGTGGTATAGGACATATCCAAATCAGTTATAAATTAGTTCAAAAAATATGTCGCAATGGAATTTGGTTATTAGTKAGTTTACAAGTAATGGAGATAGTTGTCTCATCTGTATGATCCTTACTGGAACTAGTAGTAGGATAATTCTTGTATGATATTGATAAACCATGGCATAGGACATGTATTGATCATACAGTTTCAGCATTAATTAGGATTACCCAAATCTACCCTCAAACGTCTGTGCCATGGYTTACAAAATCATACAACAATATTACAGCAAGAGTAATAAATGGTCTATGAATGCAATCAATTGGAGACAATTTATAATTAATTTAGGCCAAGAAATAGAAATGAACCATGAAGTAACTAATATTGATGTATTCAGAGAAGAAAATTTGGAAGCAAATTATATGAGCTAATTTTCAGACCAGTTTGAGAATTACAACGAAAGCAAAACATTGACATTCAGAAATTGATATATGTAGAAGCCAATTAGCCTTATGTATTCAGGCCGATTTGAGAATTCAACAAAAGGAAAATATTGAAAGCCATTTTAGAAAATGATATATGTAGAAGCCAATTAGCCTTATGTATTCAGGTCAATATATCCGTAGAAGCCAATTATTTTTATTAGCCTTATGTATTCAGGCCGATTTGAGAATTCAACAGAAGCAAAATATTGAAAGCCATTTTAGAAAATGATATACGTAGAAGCCGATTAGCCTTACTGTATGTATCCCGGTTACAACCATTAACTTTTAGAAGACCATTTATCATCTCTTGTGTACTTTTAATCAAGCAACACCTTTGTCAKACTATGACATGAACACACCAAGCCCTATGGAATATTAGATGCCATTTGATTATGACATGACAGGAATTTATGCCATGTTATTTTTGATGTGGTTTGGATTATTTTCAGATTTTCTTGTATGCAGTGAATTAAAATGCCAAATGAATCATGATTTTAAGGGAATATCAGAAGAAAGACACTGTGCAAGTACTTGAAGAGATCAAATTCATCTATGTCAATGAACCAAAAGAAGATAATTTGCTAGTCAATTTGAAGCTTGATGCCAAAACTTCAAAGGTATTCACTTCAGGATTGTGATTGATATGGTATTGCCACAAAACATATATGATGTAAATATCAAAAAAGAATTTTGTACACAGTACTTCTATCTGACCTTTGGTGTGTTCAATTATAGTCATTATATTAAAATATTCACCACTTTAAGAAGCCATGAAATGGTTTTCAGAGAAACACTTTCATGATGAAACAGCCYAAACAAGTCCAATAGAAAGAGCTAACATTTACAAACTATATCTGATACTATTTTTCAACCAACATCCTTCATAAAATCTAAATGTCAAAATATACAGACGAAATATCTGAAGTTAGTTTTTTTGTGTGATGGGGAGCCATGTGTTTATTGAGAGGATGTTTAGTGGAAAAAATAACCAGTGAACTGAATATTGATAAACCTTGCACTTTAACTTACTGTGAATATGGATGGAGACCAGGAAAGCAGCAGTCAGAACATCATCATCACAAAAGTATTATCAAATATCAACAAAAATATCAATAAAATAATCAATGTCAAGATGTACAGTAGACTCTCGCCTACTACAGTATGCTATGACATTAGAAATTGGGATACCTTATTTGTACAATTTCTTGGAAGTTTTAGTTTGTTTTTCATTTGGACAAAAAGAACTGATATCATAACCATAGGAAGCGAGAATTTACTGAAACAAATTGAATCAATGCAATGAAAAATGCATGAAAAAGTTTTTTCTTTCTCATTCAGTGAATTGGTAAAATTTGACTTGACCAAGTCTTCAAACAATTTTAAATTGAAAAACAACTGGAGTAAAAAGATAAGGAAAATTTGTATACAACCAGGAAAATTACAAAATTTGGTCATAGTAAAAAATTTATTGAAATAATTTGAAGTACAGAATATTGAAAAAAAAACTTTTTCATGTGCATAGAATAAATGACAAGTCATTTAAATCAATCAATGTCAATCGCATGAATGAAGAAACATCAGTATCAAATATAAATGCCAATCAATCAATGAAGAAATGTCAATCATATCAATGAGGGAACATCAATCAAATAAGAAAATGTTAGTCAAATCAATAAATGATGAATAATTCAATAAATATCAATTGAATAATGATTCCATGGAGCCATGTCGATCCAAGCCAGCCAGTCGTTGTGTCCAGTGGATATATGCAAAGTTTATCAACATTCAGTAAAAACAGAGATCAATGAATTCGATAAAGGATGTGGTCACTTTTAGATCTCACAACCTTGTGTTCTAGTTCTTAAAGTGGTGAAAAAGATCTACATACAACACTTGATTATATGTAGATAGTGTTATAGAACTATTATTCACCAAGGACAAAGTGAATGTTGGTCCATATTTACCAACAACAATCCAAGGTAAATACTGATCAGAATTCACTGGACCTAAAGTGAATAATTTTTAGTATAATTACCCAGATTACTATACTAGAGTTACTGCAAAATATGAAAAATTGATTTTGTCCCTGGATAGATAAAAACTGAAAATATACAAGCACTGCATAATTATCGTAACACAAATTTCTAGCCAATTATTTTGCAGTATTTCTGTATTCAGCTGTGTAATTATAAAATCATATTATTTTATACCAACTAAACATTAAAGTTACCATATTAACACTATAACTAATAGGTTCTTCTATTGTTTTTCCTCATGGACTTGCATTATCTAAAAGAAAGGAGTAATAATAACATTGGATTAATAGCCAGATAATATTCATTTTTTGCAATCATTAGGGGTACCCCTCCCCCAGAAAAAAATTGCCCGCCACTCCCTATCTTAAATCAAAATATTTCTTGCTTCTTTATCGTTAAAAAAAATATATTTGAAAGCATTTTTCCAGCTCTAAACAAGTCTTAAACTTGTTCTACGTGATCTCTTAAAAGGAGAATTTAACCAAACTAAAACTTGCAAAGTGCTGCAGTTTTGTCTTGTCGAATTTTGTCATAAAGCCGTGAATAATAAAAACTAGTTTCGTAGAATTATAAATGAATGAAGTAACTTCAGAACATTTTTCAATTGAAAACAAAAGAGCTTACATGAATTTTTTTGGCTCGAAACCCTTCCACGTGCAACCAACCACACGAGGAGTGCAGAACGAAATGCTTATTTCAGGGACGAAAAAAACCCACAGAACACAAAATAACCACCTACGCCCTCAGAACTGAACCTTATCTTAATGTAGAAATAGATTAGTAAAGTCTTGAAGCTTTTCCTACCTTGTAAATGTCGTTCTTTGTTTCCACACCTTCCACCTTCACTTCGTCGCCATCTTCTTCTTCTCCAATACGACCCTGATGCATGTTGGGTACATATGGTCCACAGGGTACCCAACCGCTGGGATCTCATCACCTCATTCTCATAGAAAAGGGTGAAAAAGGAAAGGTTAAAAGAACGAAATAACTTAAAGATAAAAATAACATCAGAGGTCAAGGAAGCAGGATATTTTTTAAAGTTGAAAGGGGGTAAATGAGGGGAGGTTTTGATTCATGTGTTAGTAACTGTTCAGTCAGAATGCAAAGTGGGCATGGACTATTTAAAAAAAGGCATAGGTCACTTTTGTTCTGTCTTAAACAAGTTGTCTGGTCATGAGAAAATAAGTCTCTCATTAGGGCTGGTTTGATATTTTTTGAGACAATATTGTATAGGGGGTTGGTCCTCATACTATAATGGGATTAAAACGAGGGGCAGGTCACCATGTTTTTGCCCCGAGGGGGGTACTCCCATATATGAACTATACGGGGATGATCCGCTGAACAGGGTATGGTTTTTCGAGCTTCTTGTCATAAACAGGGTATGCAATTTCACTCAAG